CTTCCAGATTACGACGTTTCTGTTTCCACTAATGGTTCTATTCCTCGTCTGATCAATCATAGACAAAACTTTTTTTTTTTTTAACCTCTTTGACCACCAAGTCCATTGTGAAATGTTTTCATATTTGGCCTCTGCTCTACATTCTTTCAGGTACTTTGTGTGTAGGTCCAAGCGCCAGCTGCCTCCGCATTTGTTTCCTCCAATCAACTTCCAGTGCATTCACCAGATCCTACGCCTGAGACCATCCCCCTGGGGTGAGTTCCCATTCCACTGCCTGGAGGATGGAAGCCGAACGCCACAACTCAGGGTTCTTTGCTATGTGGTCTTTCCCTGCCCGACTTATGGGTACATGGCAACTGTATTTTATGTCAGTTCTAACACATCATAGAGACAAAAATTTGAGGGAAAAAAAAAAGTTCATTTATATGCTCCCTGTCGATAAAAATAGTCACTGTTTTCATTTCATAAACTTTCCTTTCAATGGCTTCCCACTTGCAAATAGGTGAAAATAATACAGAACTTTTTGTCTTAATCTTGTGATTTGTTTAGAAAACACTTTTTTCACATTTCTATATGACATTATTTGCTAATAGCTATAAAATAGTACAGCATATTGACCAGGGTCTCCACTAGCTCAGTTGACACTTGTGTGTGAAGTAGAAAAAGGCACATTTTCTCGGAAGGAACAAAAGCCCCTCCTGCGAAGGACAAGAGTCACCTTGATATAAAAACAGTATATCATCCTATAAATAAGCAGGCAGAATAGCGTACAAAGATCCCACCCTGTGAACAGTAAGTCACAGAAGATGCTAGAACAGTGCCTGGCACACAGTGGACACTCGATAAAAGCCCCCCACCCCATAAAAACCGTAACAATGCTATCTTTATCCTCGTGGCCAGTTTTAAATACTTTTAAAAAATTACTTCTCTATAAAATGTTGCCAGGAATGAGATTACTGTATTAAAATGTATAACCAAGGATCTAAATCTGAACTCTAAAATATTAATAGGAGTTAATACCTTAAAGGCAATGTGGATCTAGGTCTCTGTACCACAGTGGGAAAGGTCAATTGGGGTGACCTCTAAGGTCTTCCCAGCTTTGCCAGTCTATGGCCCAACCTCTCCATTAGACAACCCTCCATCCCCATGACAAAGCTTCTGTCCCAGAAAGGATAGGTTCTTCCCTCTTTCCCAAGCATGCCTAATCTTTGACCTAAGATTTTGCTCATTTCATCCTCCTTCGCTTTACTTCCACCTGGAACAGCCTTTGCTTGCCCTGAGGATCCAGTCTGGCCATCATCCAAAGTCCCAGTTTAAACCTGAGCCCTTCCTCCAGGCTCTTTGTGTTCCACCTCTGTCTTTAAAAACTCAAAACATTTATTTCTTGTCTTTGTCCCTGCTTATTTAGGTCCTGTGGCATTAACCATGACAGTCTTCAAAATTAGAAATCTCTCTTGCACCTTAAGTAACGTAACCTTTGTCTTCAAAATTCCAGCGTCCACATATACGACACCATTTAGTTTAGCTAGATCCCAGGTCACATTAACAGGGATCGGTCCTGAGTGAAGGGACACCGGGCTCTAAGTTTACGTAACAACACAACCCAGGTTCCTACTGCATCAATATCTGCACTTTTACCACTGGCCAAGCCGACAGATTTATGATAATACAGAATCTAATAGTTAGAATTCAAAGTGAATATCGTCATAAAGTACATAAGAATCCATTTTAAAGAGTTAAAAAAATATGCCGTGGCCGGTTTGGATCAGCGGTTAGAGTGTCAGCCAGCGGACCGGAGTCCCAGGTTCGGTTCCACTAAGGGCACGTACCTCGGTTGTGGTTTGTCCCTGGCCCCGGTTGGGGTCATGCGGGTGGCAACCACTCAGTGTGTCTCTCTTGCACCAATATTTCTCTCTCTCTCTCTCTTCTCCCCTTTCTCCCTCCCACTCTATCTGAAAATAAATGTAAAAATGTCCTTGGGTGAGGATAAAAAATAAAAATAAAAAATAAAGAGTTAAAAAAATAAAGTCTGAATATAAAGAGGAGAGCATGCATCCACATTAGAATTTTGTTTAAAAACAGAACGTTTTTCCTTTTTCCTTTAATCAAGTCCCATTTATAAAGTGGTTTAAATTTCTTACAATTTCATGTCTTCTACCAAGTGACAGAGGATAAGATTACTCAGTCTACATTATGATCTGGAGACAGGGGTAAGGGGACTACATTCTGCTTTGGATATAGAAGACATACTCTAATCCAACACTGCTACCAGAATAAACCCTCTCTATAGAACATGATTAATATCCTTTCCAAAAATAAAACCCTGTAATATGAATAAAAATGCAATATACCTTAAAGTTTTCTTAAAATGAGAAATCATAATATGATAACAGAGGGTCTCCAAGTTTAAGAGGCAGCGGGTGCAGGTGAGGACACTAAGCCCCGAGTTATCATATTATAACATGGAGAGCCGTGGCCATCCCTGGCCACCATGCACTGCCAGTTCTCTCGGGTGTCGTTTTCACCCTCGACTTACGAGATTTTCTGGCTGGAAGCCTCATCGTCAGCATGTAAACTGAAGCTGCTCCAGAGGAAACAGGAAGAGAAGCAACTCTGGTGGTGTTTGAACTGAAGATACTCAGGCAGAGAAACCAGTCTGGCGGTGGTGTGAGAGGTGAATGGAACCGGAAGAAGGGGAGACCGTGGGAACCGAAAGGGCAACGTAGAGGAGGAGGAGACGATCAGAAATGAGATGGCGGAATGAAAAAGAAGGAAACTAAAAGAAAGCCAAAAGGTGAAGGAAGTGTGGGGGGCAGAGAAAGAAAGGGGAGAGAGGAAGGAGGAGGAAGAGAAAGAAAAAGTAAACGATCTTTGGGTATATGAAAAGCAACATGCACCATATGCCTGTACTTCTGATTGCTGTTTTTATGTCACAGATGCTATCTATCTAATGACCAAGCACAGAATTAGAATCCAGGCACAAATCCAGGAGCCACAAGAGTGGGAATATCATTTATACACATTGTTTAAAAACAAAAACCGAAGTCTCAGGTCAACAAGTGGCATGAAAGTTTCTGCCATATTGATTTTCTTGAGTGACTAGAAAGTAAAAAGGAAATTCCAATGTCCTGCCCCTGAGCTTGAAACTGTTCAAACACAAAACAGAAGAATGTAATGTTGGTTTCTTAGTTGGTCATCTTCAAGCACAGCTGCCAACCAAAAATACCAGAGTTGCTGAGTTTCTCAGAAAAGCATTTCCATCATGTCCATCTTTCTAAACTGTTGGTCTATTGCTCCAGTGTAAAATGAATTCTAGCAGGACCTACCTGGAGCCAATGTGAAGTAAATCAGAACTAATATCTCTGTACCATGCCTTTCAGGGTCCAGGATTACAACTCTCCTTGGACCTGGGATGCTTTCCACATTCTCCTGACTCTCCCACTCTACCAAAAACAATGTGCTCTCAACGAACAGTCTTTAATAATTCAAAAACAGGCATAATGAATAATTTTAAATAAATGAATCCTTGTTAAGGTGACAGCGAGCCAATAAATGATCCTTTCTAAGTAAGAAATGATGGAAAAGCAAATTAAAATCTACTTTGTCAATTAGATCCCTTTCATATAATTATAACTATACTAATGGGAAGAATTTCCACTCCAACACCAAGGTGATTAGGGAATTCTTCTGGCACCACTGGCCTGTCTTCAACTCCTAACTCGGCCCACACACCCCTGTCCACATGTAAAGTTGATGCAGACGAGTAGGTTATGTAGCGCTTGGCCTATTGCACATAGCATGAGATGAATTGAAACACTGCTCTTCATTATTATGGAACCATTCTAACCCCATTAATATTTTTTGGCATTTCAAAACAAAACAAAACCAAAAAGCCCAAAAGGCTGACTGGAAGCATCATATTCAAATGTCAAATCCTTCAGCAGAACTGAATTTCATTACAGAGTCTTGAACTTCCCATGACCAAAACCCAAGTCAAAGGGACAAGCGGTAATGAAAAGGCTACCAGACGCACACGTTCACTGACTGCAGCCTGACCACTGCAGTGGATTCGACTGCAAAGACCTAGCACCCTGGTGGCCTTCAACACGGACAGGAACCAAGTCCACCTGCCAGGCCAAGCCTGAAATAAGTGAGGTAAACTTTTCAAGCTACAAAGTGTGAGCAACATTTGGGAACAAGGGGCTTATTAACAAACATTTTTATTAAACTCCTTTCTCAACTGGCTCTAGGTGATCTCCGTCGACAGTTTTGATTTACACCCCATGTACATGAACTCTAAGTATAGTGCCTGACAAATTATAGAAGCTGAGAGATATTTTTCAGTGAATGAATAACTGCAGGGATGAGTGAATGAACAACTTCGCGATATTATACCCATTAGTGGTACAGGGGGTCAGCACCCACCTTCCCTTAACAGGGTGGTATTCCAGCCAGGGGAGACCAGAGAAGGACGCCTCGGAAGGAAATAGAAGATTGACAGTTGAGCACAGCTAACCAAAGAAACATGCTTAAAGACATCTCATTACTAAAAATAATCACGGTAACATCCCACAGAACACACACCTGAGCTACCTACCACTGGAGGAAGGGACAGGGGAAGCAGGGTACAGGTAGCAGCAAGGCATTCTTGAGATTCTCAAATCTCAGTGTGCTGCCTCTACCCAGAAAACAGAGCCTAAACCACAAAGTCAGCATCTCCCTGGTTCCGGAAATGTATCTGCCCACGGAGACTCCTCTGTTGTTGGATCACTTGGCAGCAGAATTTTCTCTGTGCTGAGTGAAGGAATAGTGTTTCCTGGGAGCTACTTAATGCTACAGAGTGTGGCCCCAGTGATGATCCCATGAACTCCTGAAGAAACTTGCCTTTGAAAACCCTGGAAATGGAAGTGCTCTGTGGCCAGTGTCATCACAGAAGCGGGGTCCCTGCTGTCCCCGTGTATCCTACCAACCTTGCCTCCCTCCTGATTAAAGAAACTCACCGCAGTGCAGAATGTCTTCCCGAGCAGGACACGCTGTTGCCCACGGGGGAGGGCAGGTTGCTCCCTCTGTGCAGGTCCTCGATGGACCTGCTCCAGGGCTTTGATTTGTCCACCGAGCTCTCCACAGTGTTTTCCACATTTTCAAAGTCAAAACTAAAACAAAAGAGAAATGCCACGAAGACTTAGAGACTCGCCTTCACACAAACACGTGGGTATGCAAACGTGTTCCTCCCTTTTATATGTCTGCACCTTAATGTGGGACGTCTTTGCGAACAACAACAAAAAAAACTAAAAAAGGGAAATACCAAAGAACGTCCATGGACTCAGTGGTAGCTTTGAATATACACAGAATGACAAATACCGGGCCAGGCAAAGTAGCCGAACAACAGCAAAAATTAAATAGTGATATATTATTTTATTTTACTATACAATTCGCTACCTTACCGATTGCCAACATTGCTAAGATGGAAGGTGGGGGAGGAAGCACTCTTACAGATGTCTTCATTTTGCTTTAACATGTCAATATGTTAGGCTCATACTAATTTATTCCTACCCATCAATTTTCACTGAGCATTTTCTCCTAGTGTGTTGGCAAGTGTGTTTTCCAACCATATGTGATGCATTACTCGCAAACTTATGAATGTGCTTTGATTTTGGAATAGCTTCCCAATGTGGTGCTCTTTAAAGTAGGACTGTTGTTTCTCTGACATTTTTTGAGGTTATTACTCATGTTAACCATGTTAGAATAAATGGCAAGTTAAGTCGCTCATTCTTGTAAAATTTTAGGGACAGCATTTTTAAACAGACAGGCCTTCGTGTGCTATGCATTTTCCCCTCCCAAAGTCAGAAGCTCTGCTTTCCCCCGCAAAAAATATTTTATCAGTTGTTTCTACCCATAGTTCCACCAAGCAACACCTGATCAGATAGAGAATAAACAGAAGGCAGCTATAATTAATATCATCTGGAAGATTTTGGAAGCAATCACAGAAGAAACAGCTACAATACATATTGAAAATAAAGACTATGACTTTTTCAGGAAAAAGTATGACATTTTATAAAATGTATGATTGCCAAAATAAAATATTTAGTTAGAAGAGTCATCTGTAAACTGGGTGATGCTCTCCATCTATTAAATACTAACCCAGATGTCACAGACTGGTGCACAGAATGTCCTTGGTCTGACAATGTTGTCATGCTTTAGGAAATGGTGCTGAACAGAAAAGAGGTGGAAACTGAGTAATCAAATAGATCCTTGAGGACTAAAATAGAAGCCTATCATTGCTATTGGAGTAGGTAAGCCAAGGGAACGTTTAAGATCACTCACTCTCTGTAAGGGTTTAGTGCTCCCCTGTTCCTCTCGGCTGGTCCCCAACTCACACAGCAGGAAAAGGAACTACCTTAGTGACAGCCTGTGCGTTAGGGACGGAGCAAGAGCCGTCGTTTCATGTTCCGTGGGCTAGGAAATTGTCGCATGCCAAGGAACAGCAAGAAATTTTCCAGCCCATTAGTTTCAAGGAACAACATAAATTATGTGTCTATATATAATTTTTCAGCTGATGAATGCAAAATAAAACCAAAACGAATCAGTACAAAATGTGAAGCAAATGCAATAAAAGAAGACTGGGAAGCAAAAGCTCCGAGTTCTGATCTTTTTTTGGGGTTAATCTTACGCCACAGACGAGAATTCTCTCACCGTGACGTTGCCTTTTCTGGTTGGAAAAGCTGGTTTGCGAGCTCTATTGTGATGTAGGAAAAGGGTTAATTACAGCAAATATATAACACATAGCATGCCATTCTTTTCATTACTCCTGACGTTTCCTAGCCCTTCCTTAATTCCATAAATAATCCTCCAGAGTTTAAAATATGCAACAGGGTAATATTATTGGTGTGTCGTATAATATGAAGTGTAAAGGGAGATTAGCAGTTTTGACAAGGTGAAGATAACAAACAACCTTTGGAAGAGTATGTTACAAAAAGTAAAATTATATTTCAGAGGACACTTTCTCAGGAAGATAAGAACGTGTCTTTTGGTTTCCCTTACTCTATTCCATATAATATACGAAAGTTATCAAAACTGAAACTCATCAAGCAAGTCTCAGTTAATCCTTTGGTTTCTGCATCTATAAGGGAGGAATAATTATAGCTTTCTCTTCACAAATTCTCAAGGAAATGATGAGGATTATAAGATAGCATCTGGTTAGGTCTCAGGACTTGACTGGAGTGAGGCAATATCCAAAACCAGTTATGGCTTCTTAAAAGAAGAATTGGCCCTGGACGGTTTGGCTCAGCGGTTAGAGCATCGGCCTGTGGTCCAGAGAGACCCGGGTTCAGTTCCCACTAAGGGCACGTACCTTGGTTGCAGTTTGTCCCCAGCCCTGGTTGGGTCGTGTGGGTGGTAGCCACTCGATGTGTCCCTTTCACGTCAATGTTTCTCTCTCTCTGTTTTCCTCTCTCTCCCTCCCACTCTATCTGAACAAAAAATGGAAAAGTGTCCTTGAGTGAAGATAAAAAAAAAATTATAAAAATAAAAGAAGAATTGAAGGGGGAAAAAATACCACCTGAGCCAAAATGTCCTCCAGTCAAATAAAAAATACAATGGTTATTGCCTCAAGCTGTGTGAGAGTCTGTGGACACAGAAACATTATTTGATTAAAGGAAGAGATGTGGAGAAGAGAAGATCTCATCCAAATGTACAATTTTCGTTCCTGTTGCAAATCTTTCCAGAAGTAAAGCAAATGGGAAAACGTTATGAATGAACAAAAACTGGGTTAAATAAGTTCATTTTTTTCCTGCTCTGCTCCAGTTTTTTCCCCTTCCTCTTTCTGAAGGGCAAGTCAAACACTACAAGTACACATAAAAAAGGGGAAACCCTGCTGTTTCTCACTTCCTCTGTGTTTACCAGCACATACAAGTATACGTACACATGCAGTGTTTTAAATAAAAAGGGAGTCACTCTTCCGTATCCTGCCTTATTCACTCAACAACAGATCATCTACCTCTTTCAATAAGCACAAGAGTATTCAACCATATGGATACATGTAACTTGAGCACTAAAGAAAGTGGTTCTTTTTAAAGTAAGGACTCCTCCAAGGGTAATTTTTACTCCGCTGTTTTTTTCCTGCCTTCGAAGCATCTCTAACAACAATCGTGTGACTTGCTTTTAGTTGCTTGAATGGAAACCAGTCTCCTGAAGCCCCATGTCTGCTCCTGGTCCCCCGTCAGCGCAGTGTGTCATAGGGCCACCGACCACACGAAACTCCCAAGGAACAAGCCAGGCTTTACTTACGTTACCGCGTACTGTGCAAACGACAGGTACTCCACCAGAACATCCAAGCCTTTGTTTTCTTCATTCAAAAACTCTCTGACCCATCTGTTGGGGGGGAAAAAAATTATTGGGGAGATTCGTCACGTGCTCTGCCAGGAAAGGCTACAGTGAAAACTTCTGCTTTTCCACCATAAACATTCATGGCCTGAAGGACAATTGCAGTTAGGAGCCTAGACCCCATCACACAAGGTAGGAGCTTTTAGACACAACGAAGAAACCACGACACTTCAGTGTGCAAGCAGAGGGGGCAGAAGGCATTGTGGACCTTCTTCACATTTTACTGCTTAAGAGACTTGAGATAACCCGAGAAACTTCCTTTACAAAGGGACTTGTCAAATGTACTTTTTCCACCATAACTGACCCACAGCCTGCTTGCTGCAGGAGCCAAGCCTGCACGGGGAATGAGGCAGACGGGGGACATGACGACATAACCACTGAAATCCAGGCGTGAGTCCAAATCCGCGTTCAGCTCTTTCTTGGCACACTAAGCTGCAGAAACCGCTAAACTGGCCAATGAGAGACCCGTGTTTATGGGCTTCTGGAAATTCGATAGGGATGATTTGCTTAATTTTTTCCATGAATGTTAAAACCTTTAAGAAGTTGCAGACACGCATACCATCCTCAGAGTTGAGACGTGACAAATACCATGTTTTTCCAAAATCCATTTTTTAAAAAGGTGCCACCTTGCATTTGAATGGTAAATTCGAATGCAGCTCACTGGTTTTTTAACATGTTTATTCATTTTACGTAATAACTCCGAGAGATGAAGTAGACTGGTCAAACAGAACCCTCAGGTACTGAGGATAAATACCTGTTACCCCACCTTACAGGTTTCCTCCAGGGTGTCCACCTTCAGAAAACGTGTGAGACCCCATGAAGCCTTCACTAGATTTGCAACTCCAACAAATAACACCTGCTTCTATCACAGACATGAAACGCGGTACATCTGCCAAGGGCATCCCCAAATGGCTGCCTTCTTCCACGCACACCAAGCCCACGAGGTCCAGCAGCTGCGGGCGCAGCAGCTACTATGGAAGCTGCTGGAACAACAGAAGGGCAATCCTGCCCTGTGTCCTTAAGGATGAGCTGCCCCTTGAGGTTTCTGTCTTAAAGGAAGAAAAAAACCCGGGAGGACTCGGGATGCCTGTTTTTTGGAGGATGCTTTCTTTGTTTTTGTTTTATCCTCCAAGTTCACTTTTCTTGCAGTCCCGTCATCTCCAGGATGTCAGCTCATGTCTGCAGGTGGTTCCAACAGGCAGCAAGGTCAGGGGAAACAGACAGCTTGCTTCGGAGGCAGACTATCACAAAATGTGTGCACTTCGCACAGCCACGCGTAAGCAGATAACGTTTCATTTTAAAGAGACCCAGCGTGGCAACCCTGGCAAGCAAACACACACCCCTGGGCCTCACAGCGCGGCTCTGTCATAAGAGCTTACCAAAACTCCCAGGGTCAGCCGCTGGGCAGGGCCGACGTTTCATTTCAAACCCACCACATACACACACAGTCTCGTGGCATCTGCTTCTAGAGACTCGTTTGATTTGTTTTAATTGTTCCCTATACAGCTAGGTCTCAGGCGATAGTGAACATTGTTAAGCAGTGATAAATAGAAGCTTGGAAACAGTAAAACAATTTTCTTCTTTTGACAACTGGTAGGAGACTAAAGAAAGGCTCAATGTCACAGTGAGGACTGGATGACTAGCAGCTCCTGAAGTTCAAACCCCTGGGCCTCTCGGTTGGCCTGGCCTATGGGCTCTGACTGCACCACTGGAACTCCCTTGGGGTTGTGTGCACAGCAGGAATCCCCAGAGCTGGGTATGGGGGGGGGGGGGTCATCTTTTTAACAGGAAAAGTCACCACGGGGTCCAGGCTGTTTCCTTGCCTCTTTCTCTCTCCTAAGCTCCAAAGGCCCTTCTTCTGCCTCTGTGGCTTGTTTCCTGAGCCCATTTCGTCTACGGCTCACTTCCCCCTCTGATCCTATCTAAATACACGTTCCCTTATAGTTGGAAAAAAATGAAAGGAAGTTGAGCCTCCAACTGGATAGGGGGCAAATGACTCAGAGTTAATAAAATAAAAGCAAGAAAAGGAGGGAGAGAGAGAAAGAGGAGAGGAAGAAAGGAAAGGACAGGAAATAGCCAAGAACAGCCAGACCTACAATTCTCTTGACCCCAGTGCTAATATGCGTATATTCTGATGCAGGAACAGAATAGTGATTGGCTTCTTTTACTTCAGTTCAATGCCCTTATCAGTACCCCCACTCCCACTTGAGGACTTTGAGCAAAAGTGCCTTAAAAGCAACTTTCAAATTGAAATTCAGGAGTCAGCTGCTCAGTCCCTAACAAGCCAGCCTGCGGGTGTCATGCCGGGCCTCTGAGAGGTCTCATTTCACGCAGCCAACCTCTTCCTACGCTACAAGACGACCTGGCCCAGGAACCCGTAGGTGATGTAGGAAATACATTTAAAATCCATCACGGGTGACTGACTACCTTTACCCACGTTGTCAAATGGTATCAGGTATCAAATGAGTTCATTTCAGCAACAACAAAAAGCTATACACTGGAGAGAAAAAAACCAGCTTTTACTTTTCCCCCACGCTCCCTATTCCTTCCACACTTGGGATATTCTGTAGATAGAGAGAACAGAGGTAAGAGGGAACTTCTATAGAAATGAAAGAAGATAGAAAGAAAATGAGTAAAGATGAAGGAAAAAAGGCAACTTTCAAAGCAGTGTCTTGAACCTAAAGACATAAAAAAAAAATATGTGGAGGCCCCATTCTGCAGATGTATGTACATAATCATGCAATGAAATAGCATAAATTCAGGGTTCCTGTAGTCAATTTCCTCTGTGCATGCTACACACACTGTTTTATATATGACCAATGTGCAGACGGTTTCAAACTGGGTAATTACAGGTTTCGGAAAGTAAAATTATTTCTGACTCTGACAGTATGCATCATTTACTGAGTACCTCACAGATTCACTGTAATTACCATGTGTTGTAAAAGTGGATCAGGCAAATTCCCAATCAGCTGCTCAGAAGACGTGGTCATGAAAAACAGCTCTGGAAAACCCTTCAAGGAAGAGATCTAAGCGCAGATGCCAGTAGTTACTGTTTTACTGGAGACAGGTCAAAGCTTCATGTCCGAGTTGCTGTTTTCTCTGTGTCCCCCACAAATCTTAGAACTTGATTATTCTCATCTAGACACACAACATAAGGGACACATGGTGAATTCTCTCTGCCAGTCTCCTAGAGAGCTGCTACAGGCACAGTGGGAACCGCCGTGGCCGAAAAACCATGGGGGTGGGGGGGAGAAGCACCGCCCAGATTCATCATGAGCGACCCAATCTAGGAGACAGTGTCACCAACTGGTTCTTCATGGAAAGCCCACACACCACCAGGGTCCCTGAGGCCCTCCCAGGGGTCTTTGGAGTTACAGGTATCTTCACACAAATAGTGAGAAAACAGTTGTTTTGGTCACTGTGCTGGCACTTGTACTGATGGTACAGAAGAAATGTGGTAACATTGCTGCCACCAAAGAATCCACCTGTTCATTGCCTTCTTCACTCCACACCCTTGAGAGGATACAAGGCAGCTTCACGAAACCCATTCTTAGTGAAGCAGTAACAATTGATTTTACGGGAGCGTCTTCCTTGAGCCTACATCTTTAACTTCGCAGGCACGGTGGGAGGCGCACAAAGCACTTGGGGTGCCCCCTCCGCCCGGTGCCACAGTTGTCTTGAGGAAAAGCACCTGTGCAGCCGTTCGTGTTGCAAACCCAGTGGCCGCCGTTCTGCATGGAGTGGAAAATGACCCACAGACTATGGTTCTTCTGTCTTGGGTCCTGGGCTGGTATTTTCTCAAAAGTCAATGAAGTCAGCCTGTCATTTTGAGGAAAATAACTGATGGCATTTGTCATCGATGATACAATTTGAGGTTTCAAACAAACAAACCAAAAAAGAATTCTGGAACACTTGTATGCACTACCACGAGCTTGATGGCTTCTCAATACTTGAAGTATACTCCAGTGAGGGCAGTGATTACTAACAAATGTGGCTGTTTTTATAGTGTAGAATAAAATGTGTTAGCGTTCATGAGATCAGATTAAGTCAGTGAGACCTTATTTTCCAAATGCCCAATTTATGATAGTAAAAAATTACTAATGAGTAAAGAGACATTCAAGTATAAGACAAGAAACGGACTTGAACATAACAGAGCACAAAAAGTCACTGGTTCAGTTTCAGACTTCACACTGCAGCTAACTTGAAGCAGTTGCCACTTCTTGCCCTGGCTGGTATGGCTCAGTTGGTTGGGCGTCATCCCAAGCACCAAAGAGCTGCCAGTTCCATTCCAGGTCAGGGCATTTGCCCAGGGTGTGGACTCAACCCCAGTAGGGGGCCTGCAGGAGGCAGCCAATCCATGTTTCTCTCTCACACCAACGTTTCTCTCTCTCTCTCTCCTTCTCCTGTCTCTAAAAGTAAATTTAAAAATCTTTTTTTAAAAAAAGGAAATTGCCACCTCTTAAATTTTGGTGTAATATCAAACAAGAATATCCATAATTATCAGGAAAAGTTATTTTAAAACTCCTCCTAAAAAGGAACCCTTGTGCACTGCTGGTGGGAATGCAGACTGGTGCAGCCACTATAGAAAACTATAGAGGTTCCCCAAAAATATTAAAAATGGAACTACTTTATGACCCAGCAATTTCACTCTGAGTATAAATACAAAGACATCCAAAACAATAGTTTATATATGCACCCCTATGTTCAATGCAGTGTTATTTACAATAGCCAAGATATGGAAGCAACCCAAGCATCTATCAATAGATGAGTAGATTAAAAAGCTGTGGTACATATATACAATGGAATATTACTTGGCCATAAAAGGAATGAAATCTTTCCATTTGCAACAGCATGGAACCTAGAGGGTATTATGCTAAGTAAAGTCAGTCAGTCAGAGAAAGATATCACTTCTATGTGGAATCTGGGGAGCAATATAAATGAACAAACAATACAGAAACAGACAGAGAACAGATTCAGGTTGCCAGAGGGGAAGGTGGTTGAGAGACTGGGTGAAAGAGGTGAAGGGATTGAGAAGTACAGATTGGTAGTTACAAAATTATCATAGGAATGTAAAGCAAAGCATAGAAAATATAGTCAATAATAGTGTAATAACTATGTACGGTGCCAGCTGGGTACTGAAAATATCAGGGGAGTGGGGGGGACCATTTTACAAAGTATATGATTGTCTAACTACTATGTGGTACACCTGAAACTAATACAATATAATACTGAATGTAAACTGTAATTGAAAAAAAAAAATTTATTAAAAGGAAATTAAATTATATGTCAAAAATGTAAAAAAAAAAAAGCTCCTCCTTTTTCCAAGTATGTACCTGTGTAAGGCCCAGTTTTCTTCATATACATCAACCAAAGCCACACAGCACAACAAATCGGATGCAGAGACGGGAGAATACAGCTGCCGCGGCGGCGATCTATAAACATGGAAATGAATGGCACTCCCGTCGCTAGTTTCTTTTTTGCTTTGGAAAATAGTTGTTTTTATGTAATATGTTATTTGTGCTATGTTATGTTTCTTATTTTGTATTATATATTTATAGTTATTAAATATTTCATGAATATTAAATTTTACTAAGAAGCATATTTAAAATGTATCCATTTAAATTTCCAATATGGTAAACGTTAATAGATAAAACCCACAAAAATAAAACCTTGTTGGGGTTCAAAATAATTTCAGAGAGTAAAGGAGTCCTGAAAATAAAAAGTTTGAGAACTGTTGGTTTTATGACAGGCTTTGGACATATTTAGATATGAATCTCAGTGCTTCTAAATTGTGTGGACTTGAGCAAGATACTTAATAGCTGACTCGGTTTTCTCGTCTGTGAAATGGAGGTTCTGAGGTAAAAGACAATAATAACAAGCTTTTGTAAAAAAATAAGATAATAATACATTTAATGTGCCTAATAAAATGCTTAATACATGACAAAATGATTATGATCTTGAGAATTTCCAAAAAGGACCGCCTAAGAATGAATTAATTATAGGTTAGCTAGATAGATGCACACACCCCATACATATTTTATACCCTCCTAAAACCAGCTTGAGTTATTCTCTGCTCCTTCCTCTTTGGGCCTGGCCCTGCCCACAGTTTCACAGAGCAGCTGGAAGTCCAGGAGGGAAGATGTCACCGGCTTCCTTCCCGTCCACAACCCTGCCCGCTTGCACATTCTCCCACCTCATCTCTCTGCTCTCCCAGCCAGATAAAGTGAAGCAAGCATCTTTCAGAATTTCTATGACTTTGTACTCGGGAGGGAAATTAATTTGCTATCATAATAGGGAGTTTTACGAAAATGAATTTCCTTCAAGGAGAGAGAACCTACACCTCAGTTCCATGGAACAAAGCCTGTCAATCTCTTCAACTCACCACTATCGCTGCCACTTGACTCTTATCTGTCACCCTGATATCCAAGACACTGTGACATAAGCCTACTCACACTGCCTGGCCAATGTGTCTCAGCATTACTTGTCTCCCTTCAAGGGAATTTCAAGTCACTTCAAAAGCTTGGATAAGCCATAATCCAATTCTTCTCTATCGTTATAATTCCTAAACGTAAGTGAATTTGATTATTTCTAGTTCAATTCTTACTTCAATTTGGCTCAAAGAAAATTAATTTTCTTTCTCAGAAGACTGCTCCATTTATGGAGTTTTAGGTTAATATAAAAACTCAGAACAAACCCTTTGCTTGACAAGCTATAGCTTGAAATGTTATCTCAACAAAGCACTAGACTTTAACCTTGAAATGCAAGTATGTGCCAAGAATAATTTTTTAGGATGAGTAGATTTTAAATGTAATTCTTACTTTTAATTTCTGATAAGCAACAATCTCCTAGGTGTCAGGGTCATTTCAGACAGAGAAGACAAATGTTCTCTGCACAGAATGCCTTAGGGATACATTATATAATATTGTTGAATTATTAGATATAATATTATTTTCAACAAGCGTAACAACAAATAACAGCTATCACATAGTAATTACTATGTATTAAACCCTATATTACATCTTTTAGAAGTTATTTAATTTACTCCTTACAACATTCCTTTGGAGTATTATTATCCTCATTTTCTAAGTTAATTTAGATCATATGGAAAGCACAGAGAGTTTATATAACTAATCTAAAGTCAAATAACAAATAAGGGGCATAGCAAAAATCTGAACCAAGATCTCTCTTTCCATAAGGAAAATGGGCACCCAATTACTATCTACTATGGTACCTTAAAGAGTACAAAAAAATCTTTGGATCCCTTATTGAGCACCTTGCATTCCAAAAATTCTGCATTGTATTGATTATTTTCACATTATTGAGTAACTTTTCAGAAAATTTCCCAGCCAGATGAGTTCAAGCCAGTTAGTTTCCATAATGAAGAGTTCAGTTGAGGTTTTCAGGACAGGCAAGAAAGGTCAAAATCCTGGTGTGTGGTTTCATTCTGTATAAGGTTAGGTCAGCTGCATGCAGACAGACAATGCACCGCCATGCATTTTTCTGCTGCTTAAGCCCAAGCTTTCAGAGTGCCCCACATAGGTGGTAGACACAGAAAACCTAAGCTGGAAGACGAAAGCAATGTAAGAATCTTTCAACATGCCTACAGTATCCCAAACAACAAACCACTCCAATTGCTTGCAGATTTGCACTGGCTTCAACCCAACCAGCCAACTTTGTATTGGAAATGATCATCTTGCTTTGGTATTTGATGGTCAATTTCACATTATTCCAGCAATGCTTGAAGAAATGCTTTTTGACAATTTGTAGAAATCCTGGCTGCAGCTCATTCCAACACTTTCAGTCCAGACGTGGTGCCAACAGTATAGGGCTAGACCTTACCAAATGGAATCTAGCTCCCAATCCACAAATATTGGAAAGTATGTAAATTTCCTAAGCTTGGATGCCCAACTATATTAAATTACCACCACTTTCACCCCCAACAGACAAGCCTCATTACTTTGATCCCAGAGCCTTGATTATCTTATTTCCTTTCAGGGAAAAAGCTGCCAGATTAGGCAACACAAGAAAATGAACACAGCATTTTGAACCTGAGCACCTGGCTCTACAGCTGCAGACTTTGTGGGATCTCTCACCTTCTCTGTAAAATGAGAGACTAGGTAACACTTAATTTCTCTGCAACTTCTAAATCATGATTCCATGATCCACTGTTTTATAGCCCGTTTTCTGGGATAAAGGTGACTCTCGACCTTAGGGTAGAATCAGTTCATTTCTCAAGTACTCCATTCTCGAGGTGACAAATGTGCAGTTATCCTTCAGGAAATAAACAGTCTCACCCAGGCGCCACCTGGGTTGATTTCAACATTGCATTTCGGCAATTTTTAAAAAACTTATTCTGAAATAACTGTGAAAATTACCATTTGAAAGGCTTATAGCAAACAGTCTAAAGTAGAAGTAAACTGTTATTTATGTACTATGTTTGTTTTACAGACTACTCTGTAAAACTATAACATAACACATATGTAGAACTTCATTTCCAACAGACCTGCAAAAAATGCCAAAGGGGAAAATTCTAAAAAAATCTAAAGTCTATTATCTTCTCATTATAAAATTCAAATATTCAAAACCCAGAGGGTTAAATAACTTGCTGGGGTTCAAACAGAAACTTTAGGAGGAACTCAGGTTACAAATAGGATACCTGATATCATTCTGCCTTGGAGATAAACCATCTTGTTTTAAGGTACTTTACGATTATGCCATCCCAGGAATAAGTGAAAATGTCATAAAGTTGTACTTGCTTGAGGCAAAGCAACCATGTTGCCGTATGAAAACCCTTAAGACATGCTTAGCGCAGAGATTCCTCAAACTTTATTTTCTAGAGTGGATTTACATTTATTTCACGGTCCTGAAAGTTTGAGATGTAGGCAGAAGAGACTCAGAACAAAGTAACACGTGCACTGAGGTGTCCCAGGTGACATCAGTCCAGCTTTCGTCGCCTTCTGGTCAGAAAGGCCAGGGAATTGAGGAAAGAAGGAAGGAGCAATTTCAGATAGGCAGCTCCCAGATCTTCCAGGATCTCTGTCTATGTTACCTGTTGGGGGTTCCTAATTTGCCAAAGAATTATTATGCACACAAGAGCCCAAGCACCTACCACGGCATCCAAGCCGAGAATGTTAGAATGGTTACAGATATCCCAAACCAAGGACTGTCTGTCCTGCTTCTACAGATCCTTGTACAGTGAGCAATTCAAATACCAACACAGGTTCCACACATCTAACCCTCACTCTCCTCACTTACAATGAACAGTAAGGAAGCGTAACTCTTTGGCTGTCATAGAGTCACTTTGTAAAGTGTCCAAAAACCTCGGAGCTACAAGGTTAAACGGGCACACTTACCCAATATGGTTGGTTCTTAAAGAAATTTCCAGTTCTCTTAGCACTTGTGTGGATTCTTGAACACGCCGTCTGAATTTCTGTAAGTCCAAGAACACATATTCTCACAAAACATATTTTAGCAACTGCTAAAACTGTAGTTTACTCATAATAAGTTTAACACAACGTGAAAACAGCTCTGCCTCCGAAGTGGGCTTCTCCACATTTCTTTCTGCAAAGCACACAAATTTTTCTCATCATTAAAATGAGCTTCTGTGAAAGGATGGGGAAAAATGACTTATTTCAGGTACTAGGTGTCTTTGAGTAAGTAGGTTATTTTTTTTCCCTACCCCACAGTATAAAAATATTCACCAGCCCTGGCCGGTTTGGCTCAGTGGTTGGAGCGTTGGCCTGCAGTCTGGAGAGACCCGGGTTCGGTTCCCACTAGGGGCGCATGCCTTGATTGCGGTTTGTCCCTGGCCCTGGTTGGTTATGCGGGTGGCGGCCGCTCGATGTGTCCCTTTAGCGTCGATGTTTCTCTCTCTCTCTCTCTCTCTCTCTCTCTCTCTCTCTCTCTCTCTCTCTCTTCCTCTCTCTCCCTCCCACTCTATCTGTACAAAAATGGAAGAATGTCCTCGGGTGAGGATAAAAAAAAAAAAAATTCAGCAATATATTTATGTGTTGAGGTTCCTAAGACCACCCTACTTTCGATGATTTGCTAGTACTCAGTGTAGAGAGGTCCGTATGGCTGAGATTTATCACAGCAGAAAGATACAAGGCGCGATCAGCAAAGGGAAATGGTAATTGGGGTGAAGTCTGGAGGAAACCAGATACAAGCTTCTAAGAGTCTTGCCCCAGAAGAGTCACAAGTGACAGTATTCGTGAAATGCTGTCTACCAGGAAGCTCATTCGAGACTCGGTGCCCAGGGTGTTCACTAGGGGCGGAATCGCTCGGGTACTCTCTGCCTAGCACCCACCCAAAGTCCAGACTTACTGGAGGGAAACAGGCATCCAGCATAAACCATACTGTTGGCATAACCAGTTAGGGCACCGTGAGTCCTTCTTATCAGAGATGGTGGGAACTCTCCCAAAATTCAAGTTCCCAGTTGACGACAAGGAGCCAACCTTGCAAGCAGGTCTTTCTAAGGTAACAGTCTCAGGGTTGCTGCGTTACTTCTTTTCTGCATGACCTAACTTTTCCCAAAAATAAACATTCCCAGTTACCCCTGCCCCTGAGCCCCCACTTGGAAGGCCCCTACTCTGGAGACCTGCCTTCTACCTTTGGGTTGTACTTCCTCACTCCCGAGCCTATAAAATCCCACCAATCCTTCCAGAACTCTGTCATATGTTTCTTGTTCAGTGAGTCCTCCTCTGATAGTCGGTGTATTCATCTCTCTATCCTCTCAACTCTAAATAACCTCCAAAGATCGCCAGCATTGCATTCATTGCGCATCAGTTCTCTGGAACAGTTTCCCATGGAAACACTTATTTACGGTAACTAAAGTCGTAGGCCACTCTGGAAGGACATTTGATGTGCAATGAATGCCTCCTCAGAAGAGTGCTATGCTTCCTGTCCTACTGCCATAGTTGCAGGGTAAAGAGAGTCATCCAGCCCCAAAGACAAAGGCGTGCAAGGACAGGAGGGAAAGGAGAAAGTCTGGAAAGAAGGACTCCAAGACGGGAGGTGGGCAGAGCAATGCCGTGCCCCTGGTGGGACCTGGTGCCCCAGTGAACGCCTGGACCCCTGCTCAGCACGGTGGCTCCTGTCGCTCTCTTCGCTTCCAAAGGCCCTTCGCTTCTCCTCCAACTGCTTCAGGGTCTAAGGAAGCAAACAGTCTCCTAGATTCCCGCTGGGTGCCATCCCCAAAGACTTTCTCAGGTTTTCGGAATTTAGGTACAGTGGGATATATGAAATAGAAGCATCCTCAATGCATTGAAAACAGAAGGGCACTCCCCTCTTTTATCAGGGAAGGCCTAAGAGACGGCAAAGCCGTGTGTAGTTTGGGGGGACAGAGAGCTCTCTAGCAATGAGGACGGCTGATGAGGTGACACAGCTGAGAAACCATTTCCAAAACCCACTGGGTGGTCTCGCTGCTCCAGAGGGGCCATTCCATGTCAGAGTCACAAGTCTTAGGCTGTCTACACCTGTGGCCTCTACAAAACAACTCAGTGTTCCTGGCTGTGCATTTGGCACAGTTCTGACTGGTTCCCTGGGGCCTCTTCCAGTTCCCAACTCTGCCTTGTGCATCCTGGAGATAAGGTCACCCCTTCCAGACACTGTCAGCCACGAGGGTACCCAGCGTAAAAGAGGATCTGCTGAAGGACTAAGAGGCACATATCAAAACAAGTCAACCAGAACTCTATGAGATAATGGGAACGACAATCTTTGTTATTAATAAACACATAACATATATTAGCCATTTACCATGGTAGGTACTACACTGTGGCAACAACGCGATACCTCCGGTAAAACTCAACTGACTTTGCCCTTGCACTGCATTCGCTTGGGAACTGTTTGATTTCTCAGCTGGGCTCCGCACTACAGAGAAGCCCGGGCACCCACTTCTCTAAGCGTCAACAGTGAGTGCCGCCACTCTGCACTTCTGCCACGGACGCGGAGAGCTTTGAAAGAGAAACCCTGTGCCTGTGGGCATCCGCGAAAAGGAGCAGGCACCACCCATCAGCAGGCTCTGCCTGGCTCTCTCCCTAAGAGGAAGGCCCGGGGATGGCCCACGGAGGCAGCTGAGCCCTAGAGACACGGGCAATAGATTTCTCCGCCACAGAGGACCTGACTCCTTCTTCATGGGCCGCGGCCTGTCCATGCCGGACACGAGCAATCCCACCCCCAAAGCCCAGACTAAGAACCGCCTGGTGTTAAATGAGGAGGCCGCTTTGGAGAGCTCTGGTCCCAGGGGTATCGAATGTGGGCTCTTCCTTCCCTTCCCTGGAGGGTTTTAAATGATTTAGAAGAAAATCTAAGCAGAATATACTTCAGAAAAAAGTTTTAAAAGATGGCAAGTGACGCATCTTGTGCTCCAGATGAGCACAACTTCACGAATGACAAACCCGAGGACGCCAGGCGCAGTCAGGGGAAGACGGCCCAGCCTAGACTGTCCGGCTAAAACGCAAAGCCCTGATCCGAAATCTTCTCTTCGTCCTCCCATATTACAGCTGAGACTCTGAAATCCATTTTAACTGCAAGTCATGCCGTATTCCAAACAAAATCTCCTTTTTCCCCGGGCTTTAAGCATGACAATTACGTTGAGTGGAACAGATCATTTCCTCCTGCCAGCTCCCGACAGAAATCAGGCAAAGCAGAGATGGTGGCTCCAACATCCAATTTATTCTTTCCTGCACCGAACGACGGATGGTGAGGGATGAGGCACAAACCAGACAAGGCTGCTGAGGTGAGCACACGGGGTCTGGGGCAGAGGCTGCAGGTCAGCCAGACAACACCTTTGGTCTCGGGCCTCTTTACTGTTAGTTGCAAGGGAGCAAAAACACTTGCTGAGCAGCTCAGTGGTTGTTTTTGTCTTATCTTCTTTGTGTCAACCCAGGAATAATTGAAATAATTGTTCCAAAGGAGAGCTGGGGCTGTGCCAAGAGGAACCCACCTCTCCCCTCCAAGCATCTTCCTCCCTGTGGGGTTTGGGGCTGGAGTCTAAGCAGCATACTACAAGTTCTCACATTTTCTGTTTCTTTTTCAGAATCTGACTAACGTTACAGTACTTGTTTGGGGATGGAACATACTCCATGCAAGAGGAGATCTTTAGTCTTGTGGGTGGACTTGAGCGTTTCAGCGTTTCTGCAATGCTCAGCTCGGGATGAGCGTGTCTGACGCTGGGGCCTGAGCCATCCAGCCTGAAGGTGTGCAAGTCTGGGGACTCCTGAACATATTTCTAAAACAGAATCTTGTTGCCTCTGTGCAAAGAAATAGTCCAGAAAACCACCTGGGGTCTTTGGCTTGTGCTGCGTGTGTATGGGTGTGCCTTCCCTTAACCCTCTCTAATCCCATGACACTGAGGCTGCTACATCCTTCGGGGAGGAGATGAACAAGAATGAAACAAAGAAGGAAACAGCTGCCTCATTTAGGGGCCTGACAGAAGCTCTTTAAAAACAAACATGTGTGTGCCATATTTGTGAGCGGTTGGATACGACGAGACTTTGACAGGTACATTCTCAGAAGACGGGGCTGTGTCATTCAAGTCGCATATGGTGTCTAGCCGACAGCAGAGGTCTGCAGGCCATTTTCATCATCATGTCTCGATTTGATTTCCGCTTGCCTGCATGCAAACCAAGGGACAAAAGGGAAGGAAACTTCCAAAAGGAAATAATAGCTGTTTTCCTTTGCTTGACTTTCTGTTGTTGTTGTTGGAAAGGATGTGGTGAGTAAAAGCAGAAAATAAAGAAAAAGGCAATATATATGTATTTTTTAATACAAGAGCCAAGAGCTCTGGCAACAAGAGCTAACCAGGAAAAGTGTGCCTTTCTTCACTCATGAGTCCCACACAGAAACAACGGAGGGAATTCAGCTCAAGATATTTTCGCTGTAGCTTTAACACAGTTGTGGTAGGTCAACCGAGAAACAAGTGCTGTCTGGTGAAGAGCCCTCTGCCCATCTTGAGCAGGGACAGCTCTGCCCTGAGACGGCCCAGGACGGCCCCAGGCCGCGGGGCTGTGCCAGGCTGCGTGCTTCCCCACGAGGCACCAGTGTCAGCCGATCGTGTGGCTGTACAAAGCAGGGCTTGTTGGTAAAAGGAGAGTCAGTGGGGAAGGGAATGAGCTATTCTCTCCTTACCTTCTCGGGGCCGGGGCTCGGTGGGGGCGGGGAAGCTGCTAAAAGCATCAACACAGGATGTGAGAGCACAGCTGGGATGACAAAGCCCAGTGAACGTTCAAGGTCTCTGGAAATGCACCAAGACATGAAAGACAAGTCCCGTGGCTGGGCCTGCCTTCCTAGGGGCTCACACACCTCTGCACCGGACTCCCGGCCCTGTGCAGTCGGACATGGCAGCGACTCTGTAACCATCAAAGGGACAGGACTCCCATCTAAGGAAAGTACTTTTATTTATTTATTTATTTTTTTAAACCCTCACTCAAGGGCATTTTTGCATTTATATTCAGATAGAGCGGGAGGGAGAGAGAGCGCATGAGAGAGAGAAACATCGGTGTGAGAAAGACACATCAAGTGGCTGCCACCCACACAACCCCAACCAGGCTGGAGACAAACTGCAACCGAGGTACATGCCCTTAGTGGGAACCAAACCCAGGACTCTGTGGTCTAACCGCTGAGCAAAACCGGCCAGGGCTCAGGAAAGCACTTTCATTTATTTATTGATTGATTGATTGATTGATTTAATCCTCACTCGAGGCCATTTTTCCACTTTTTGTTCAAATAAAGTGGGAGGGAGAGAGAGAGAGAGAAACATCAACGTAAAAGAGACACATCGAGTGGCTGCCTCCCGCACAACCCAACCAGGGCCGGGGACAAACTGCAACTGAGGTACGTGCCCTTAGCGGGAACCCAACCCAGGACTCTCTGGACCGCAGGCCGAAGCTCTAACCGCTGAGCCAAACCAGCCAGGGCTCAGGAAAGTACTTTTAAACACATCCTCTCATGAGAAGGATGGCTGCTTTCTTTGTCTTTTCATGTCTGTCTCCAAGGGTTGTTTTCCTGGAGGCCCTGGCACAGGCTACAATGTAGGAAGGAAGGTCTCCTACAATGCAGAGGATTCTGGTCACTAACGGGGAAGCCGGGACAAAAAGTGGAAACATATCCATCTTACCTTCCTGGTTACGGCCGGGTCCAGATAGCCTTTGAGCTTCTGAATGTAAGTGTGGGGAGGATTCTTCACCTGGAATCGTTCCTGCAGGAAGCACACAAGAAAGGAAAAAGCATGACATGTATGAAGGCATGACAATCAACACCGTTCAGAGACTGCTACTGCTGACCCAAGGCTGAAAGGCACCCACGGAATGAATGTGGCCCTGCAAACAATCATGATGTCCTAACGATGTTATCATCCTCTCCGCATGGGAGGGAACGGAAGCTCAGAGGAATTCAGCCCTTCCCCGAGAAAACAGCTGTCATGGTACAATGGACCTGAGCCCTCATCGGCGCTGCTTTCTCTGTAGCCCCGCAGCTCTCATTCCAGGAATCATGCTCTGCCCAACTTGCAAGCAGGTCTTCCTCTGGCAGGTCTTCAGTCCATTGCACATTCTTTTTTTTTTTTAATCCTCACCTGAGAATATTTTTCCATTGATTTTTTTAGATAGGGTGGGAGGGAGGGAGAAGGGAAGGAGAGGTGGAGAGAGAGAGAAACATCAATTGGTTGCCTTCCGCATGACTCCACCTGGGGCCAGGGATCGAACCTGCAACCCAGGTACATATCCTTGACCAGAATTGAACCCACGACCCTTCAGTCCATTGGCCAACGCTTCAACCATTGAGCCACACCAGACAGGGCTATTGCGTATTCTTTTGAATATCTTCAATGTTAGCAAATCTTTCTCTTTTAAATACTAATTCTTTTTGAAAAAAACAAAAGTTTGACTCAAACTCAATAAAACGTATGTTTGAAAAATGAGTAATGAGTTTATTGCTGAGAGACAAGTGTGTGTGAGTGTGTGTGCGCATTTGTGTGTATGTATATCCATGCATGTGATCACTCATGAGCTCCCAAGGCAGTTCCAAACTAGGAGACCCAAAAATAGTTTAAGCAAAAGTACCATCACTGAAATAAGCAACACACACACGAATGATATTTGAATACAGATCTGACATAGGGCCCAAGAATCTACATTCTAACGAGTCTTATGCAGATGCTGGGAGTGGAGGGACTACACGTTCAGAAACTCATGCCCATGTGTATCAGATTTTATAGACTCTAAAGTCCAAAGCAGCACAATAAGCAGTAGTAGAAAACTGGGTAAATGGGTAAGACTCGGACTATGTTCGAGTTCAATGAAAATGAATCCACTACATGCATGTTCTGCATGCTCCCACAGAGATGGATCTTAGAAACCTGATGCTGGACTAAACCAACACGTGATTTTACTTGTACAGACTTATGCAGAATAGGCAACATTAAATAATCTTCAATAGTTAGGGTCACATACATGCGTGGTGTTATTTGTGTATGTGTGCATGTGTGTGAGAGAGAGAGATGACTAGCATAAAGACGACAGCAGAGGAGGACTGCGGTGGGGGAAGGGAAATACGACGTATTCCTTGAGAGGCCAGCAATGCTCTATGTCCTGACCAAGTAGTAGATGCACAGGTGCTGGCTTTAACCTACTTGTTAGGCTGTTCTAGGTTTCACACCCTTCTCTGTACATATGCCGTACTTCACACACACGGACAAGGGAAATGGTATATCAGCTCTAAAAAGGGAAAACAGAGATTCATCGTGAAACCAGAACGATGCTCTCAGGGTCTCCTCTACCTACAACTCAAAGATGCTTTTCCTAGTACTTCTTTTAAACCTGATTATTGCTTATGCCACAGTGGAATGTTTTAGTATTTCCCAACACTGACTCTGGCCAGCATGCTTAAGCATTTGTTTATCCCACGTGAATTTTATTTCTCCAACAAAGGGAACCACACACTCTTCCTGGTCCACCCGAGTCTTGCTCACTTAAAATTTAGAAATACTAAAGATTATCTCACTATTATAAAAAAGATGACCTCATCAGTGAAAGCATATATCTTTCATTACGCTTTGAGACAGAACGAAGTGGCTTGTAGTGAGACACCTATCACTATTTCCCCTTTATTTAAAAAATGATCAGGGTGAATTTTATAGTGTATAAACTATACCTCAACAAAGCTGTTAACATAAAAAGATCAGCATACTGTTCCTAATTATTCCCCCAAATTTTCTATCACAAGAAACGTCTCTAGTGTCATCACTGTGTCTGTATGAAGTCCTTTTTATTAATTTAAAATCACCATCGCTTCGCTAAGGGATCAGAGCGAATCCAACTGCCAAGGGGTTTCAGTGACAGCCCAGGTGAAGGCCAAATAATTGCGAAAAGCTCTGATCTGCACTGATAAGCTAACTAGTTACTATTTCCAACCTTGTGTATAACAACAGCTGATGCCAGAGCTATATTAGGATACAATAAAATGTTTGCCTTTGAACAATCCAATCCAATTATCCAACTTGTTAAAAATCCTGTGATTAGTGACAATGCAAAACTGGGCTCCCTTCTGCTATAGCAACCAATTACTTCTAAATATAAGGCCCCTAACACATGAATCTCAAAGAATTCTTACTCCGGCTAATGCTGTATTTGCTTGAGGACCTGAAATTTGAACCTGTAGACATTTGCTGAGAGGTTTCTAATGTTTGTTCTTTTAGGCAAAGTCTTCATGCTAGAAGAGCCATATTTATTCCTTTGAAATAAAATCTGGTTGCCCTGCATGGATGGCTCGGCTGGAATGTCATCCCATACACCAAAAGGTTGCAGGTTCAATTCCCAGTCAGGACACATATCTAGGTTGTGGGTTCGATCCCCATTCAGAGCACGTATGGGAGGCAACTGATTGATGTTTTTCCCTCACATCTCTCTCTCTATACATACATATCCTCCGGTGAGGATTAAACATACATACATACATAAATAAATCGGGTTCAGTAACATATGAAACATTCTCATTTGCTTAGTGAATCCCACTTTTGATAGTCAACAAATGCAGCTTTCTCTATTTTCTATTTAAGATTGGGGTGACCCAGAAAGGTTTTCTCAAATACAGGGGTGAGCAAAAGTAGGTTTATGGTTGTAATACAAATAAATACAACAAATAAATAATAACACAAGAATGAACTTTCACATACTAACAACTGTAAACCTACATTTGCCAATCCACGTATATACTTTTACTGATCCTGAAAATATTTCCTCATAATTATTCCCCTGAAATTATGGACAAGGTCTAAATTTAATACATTCATACTTTGTCAAATGTGCTTACTAGTATTCGCTGCTATATTTTAGGCACATTTTTCACTTGTTTAAGTAACTTATTAGTGTATTTCCAAGAAACAGAGAATCAAGAAGCCTGATGCTTCAAAACACAGTAGGTCTACATTACAGCTACTTCTCCAAAACCCAGTTTCCGTGCAGGGATTCAAATATAACTGTTATGGCAGAAGGAAACAAAGCCCCAGTCATTTTCCTGAAACTTAAGGTTGTTTGTCTCTAATCTCAAAAGAAACTATTGTTTGAGCTATAAATCTAGCATCTGTCCCACCAAGCCTTTTCTTTCTGTCACTTCTTTTTTAATTTTTTGCTAATCCTCACTCAAGGACATTTTTTTATTGATCTTTCAGATAGAGTAGAAGGGAGGGAGGGGAGGAGGGGGAGGAGAGAGAGAAACATTGATGTGAGAGACACAGTGATTGGTTGCCTCTTGCACTACCCCAATCAGGGCCAGGGGTCAAACCTGCAACCCAGGTATACGCCCTTGACTGGGAATCAAACCCGCAACCCATCGGTCTGAGGGCCAATGCTCTAAGCCCTGAGCCCAACCGGTCAGAACTCTCTGTCTCTTCAATATAGCCATTTGGACAAAAGAAATATTTGGGGGAATACATTGGAGAAAGCACCTGCCAAAACACATTTTTATTTTGGAGGACTTTGGATGAACTGACATCATATTTATTTAAATTAATATTTTTTTTCTCTAAGTATTAGAATTTTATATATTGAAGTGAAACCCCAAACTACCTAGGCTGGCAGTTTCCCATCACCCTCACTTCTAGGTCTGTTTCAGCTTCCACGTGCTATTTCAAGAACCAGTTACCCACTTGTCCAACATTATTGATATGGGTAGTTTAGTGAAATTAACTCCTCAGCCTGAGTTATGTTATATAGAAATATTATTCTTAAGGATAAAAATATCTTTTAATTATGGTGATATGTCAATACGGATTTATTAGCATCTGAAAGAGCTTGAAAAATACAGATTTCTAATTTTCCAGGAAGATGCCCAGAAGAGGGATTGCTGGGTCATATGGTAGCTCTATTCTTAATTTATTGAGGAGCCGCCATACTACTTTCCATAGTGGCTGTGCCGGTCTACATTCCCACCAGCAGTGCACGAGGGTTTCTTTTTCTCCACAACCTCTCCAATGCTTGTTAGTACTTGTCTTGTTGAAACAGCCATTCTAACAGGTATGAGGTGGTATCTCATTGTAGTTTTGACTTGCATTTCCGTAACAGCTAGTGAAGTTGAGCATCTTTTCATATATCTGCTGGCCATCTGTATGTCTCATCTGCAAAGATATATGCAACCCTGTGTCCATTGCAGCACTATTCTTGGTGGCCAAACGTGGAAACAATCGAAGTGTCCTTCACTAGCTGACTGGGGAAAGAAGATGTAGTACCTATATATATACAATGGACTACTACTCAGCCATAAGAGATTAAACACTGCCATTTGCGACCACGTGGATGGATCTCGAGAATATCTCGCTAAGTGAAATGCCAGACAGAAAAAGTTAAGAACCATATGATTTCACTTATATGTGAAATGTAAAACTGAAAACAACAAATGAACAAACAAGAAAAACAAAAACTCATAGACACAGACAACAGAATGGTGGTTCAGAGGGAAGGTGGTGGGGGCAGTAAAGGTAAAGAGGTCAAGTATATGGTGACAGAAGAAGATATGACTTTGGGTGCTGGGCACACCATGCAATATACCGATGATGTATCATAGAAATTGCACATTCAAAACCTGTATAATCTTATTAACCAATGTCACCCCAATAAAGTTACTTTATAAAAATAAAATACAGATTTCTTTCAAAATGTCTAATCAATACGGCATTACCCCCACACTGACCTCCTATCATTAATC